CGCTATTAGGTTGGAGGCCATTGCTATTTGGTTGCAAGCCATTGCTATTAGTGTGGAGGCCATTGCTACTAGGTTGGAGGCCATTGCTACTAGGTCGGAGGCCATTGCTACTAGATTGGAGGCCATTGCTTCTGGGTTGAAGGCCATTGCTACTAGGCTGAAGGCCATTGCAACCAGGTTGCAAGCCATTACTACTAGGTTGGAGGCCATTGCTACTAGGTTGGAGGCCACTGCTACTAGGTTGGAGGCCATCGCTACTAGGTTGGAGGCCATTGCTACTAGGTTGGAGGCCATCGCTACTAGGTTGGAGGCCATCGCTACTAGGTTGGAGGCCATTGCTATTTGGTTGCAAGCCATTGCTATTTTGTTGGTGGCCATTGCTACTAGGTTGGAGGCCATTACTACTAGGTTGGAGGCCATTGCTACTAGGTTGGAGGCCATTGCTACTAGGTTGGAGGCCATTGTTACCAGGTTGTAAGCCATTGCTACTAGGTTGGAGGCCATTGCTACTAGGTTGGAGGCCACTGCTACTCGGCTGGAGGCCATCGCTACTATATAGGGTGGAGGCCACCGCTATTGGGTTGGAGGCCATTGCTATTTGGTTGCAGGCCATTGCTATTAGGTTGGAGGCCATTGCTGCTAGGTTGGAGGCCATTACTACTAGGTTGGAGGCCATTGCTACTAGGTTGGAGGCCGTTGCTACTAGGTTGGAGACCATTGCTACTAGGTTGGAGGCCAGTGCTACTAGGTTGGAGGCCATTGCAACCAGTTTGCAAGCCATTGCTACGTGGGAGGCCATTGCTACTAGGTTAGATGCCACTGCTACTAGGTTGGAGGCCATCGCTGCTAGGTTGGAGGCCATTGCTACTAGCTTGGAGGCCATTGCTACTAGGTTGCCATTGCTACTAGGTCGGAGGCCATTGCTACTAGGTTGGAGGCCATTGCTACTAGGTTGAAGGCCATTGCTGCTAGGCTGGAGGCCATTGCTGCTAGGCTGGAGGCCATTTCAACCAGGTTGCAAGCCATTGCTACTAGGTTGGAGGCCATTGCTACTAGGTTGGAGGCCATTGCTACTAGGTTGGAGGCCATTGCAACCAGGTTGCGAGCCACTGCTACTAGGTTGGAGACCATTGCTACTAGGTTGACGGCCACTGCTAGTAGGCTGGAGGCCATCGCCACTATATAGGTTGGAGGCCACCGCTACTAGGTTGGAGGCCATTGCTTTTTGGTTGCAAGCCATTGCTATTAGGTTGGAGGCCATTGCTGCTAGGGTGGAGGCCATTACTACTAGGTTGGAGGCCATTGCTACTAGGTTGGAGGCCATTGCCACTAGGTTGGAGGCCATTGTTATTAGGTTGGAGGCCATTGCTACTAGGTTGGAGGCCATTGCCACCAGGTTGCAAGCCATTGCTACTAGGTCGAAGGCCGTTGTTACTAGGTTGGAGGCTACTGCTACTGGGTTGGAGGCCATTGCTACTAGGTTGGAGGCCATTGCTACTAGGTTGGAGGCCATTGCAACCAGGTTGCAAGCCATTGCTACTAGGTTGGAGGCCATTGCTACTAGGTTGCAGGCCATCGCTACTAGGTTTGGAGGCCATTGCTACTAGGTTGGAGGCCATTGCAACCAGGTTGCAAGCCATTGCTGTTAGGTTGGAGGCCATTGGTACTAGGTTGGAGGCCACTGCTACTAGGTTGGAGGCCACTGCTACTAGGTTGGAGGCCATTGCTACTAGGTTGGAGGCCATTGCTACTAGGTTGGAGGCCATCGCTACTAGGTCGAAGGCCATTGTTACTAGGTTGGAGGCCACTGCTACTAGGTTGGAGGCCATTGCTACTAGGTTGGAGGCCTTTGCTACTAGGTTGGAGGCCATCGCTACTAGGTCGAAGGCCATTGTTGGAGGCCACTGCTACTGGGTTGGAGGCCATTGCTATTAGGTTGCAAGCCATTGCTACTAGGTTGGAGGCCATTGCTACTAGGTTGGAGGCCATTGCAACCAGGTTGCAAGCCATTGCTGCTAGGTTGGAGGTTGGAGGCCATTGCTACTAGGTTGGAGGCCATTGCTACTAGGTTGGAGGCCATCGCTACTAGGTCGAAGGCCATTGTTACTAGGTTGGAGGCCACTGCTACTGGGTTGGAGGCCATTGCTACTAGGTTGCAAGCCTAGGCTGGAGGCCATGGCTACTAGGTTGGAGGCCATTGCAACCAGGTTGCAAGCCATTGCTGCTAGGTTGAAGGCCATCGCTACTAGGTCGAAGGCCATTGTTACTAGGTTGGAGGCCACTGCTACTAGGTTGGAGGCCATTGCT